TCTTGAAAATGCAAGACAGACAATGTTTGTTCAGAGGCTATTAAAATTTTTTGACAAGCATTAAGGTTTTGCCAATGTAATATCCTGCAGCAGAGTCCACACGGCACACAACCAGGTCAATTCAAAAGATCGTTATCGCCTCTGCCAGCATTAATCCAGCATCTTTGATGGTGTCAAGTCTGCAGGCTGAATCCACAATAAAGTATAATTTCAAAGGAAGAAGAACCCCTGCGGTCTGCTCTCTTCCCAGAGCCCATTCACAAGGAATGGTGCAATGAATTGTACTGTCACTAGAGGGCATGTTGCCCCAGCAACAATTATGGGCACGCACACCCCTCTGAGTGTGTTGTGTACAACTACAACTAGTAGCTACTGCTGGTAGGGCCAAGAACTGCATTGCGCTTAACTGGGGCGGTGTGTGTGTGTGTGTGTCATAGCCTACAACCATTAGCTCTATTCCCACTGGACCTCCGTTCCAGAGAAGTGCTACCTTCCTCCTTCTTAGGATGTAGAGGGATTGGCCCAAAGTCACCGGGCTGGCTTTGGGCCTAAAGTGGGACTAGAACTCACAGCCTTCTAGTTTCTACCAGCAGAAGAGAGTATTTGTAGCTAACTTGTGGGGTCCTTGGTGCTCCCTGAGCTGGGTTATTTTTTTTGCAGACGTTTCATGACCCAACTAGGTAAACTTCATCAGTGCTAGAAGGGAGTCGGGGTTACATTATATATAAACAGACCAAATCCCGCTTCCTCATAGCACTGATGAGGTTACCAAGTTGGGTCATGAAACGTCTGCAGGAAAACCACCAAGCTCAGAGAGCACTGAGGACCTCACACAGTCCCAGTTTCCAGCCTGATGTCTTAACTATTCCATCATGTCCTGCGATGTGATTTATGCCTTGTTAGCATATTATCGTATTTCTTTCCTTCACTCTGGTTTTGTTCTTTGCTGCTCACTGACCGAAGAAGTATTATTGATGGATTGCACCAAACTGGCTCTGCTACTTATAGTAAACAGGCTTTTAATGGGTCGTGCCACATGCCACCCTTTTAAACCGAAGCAACCTTGAGAAGTCTACCGGTGGCCAGAACCACACAACTGCTGTGTGTCCCCTGCCCCTACCCGTCAAGAAAAAACTCCAAGCCTGGGTGATAAAGCCACCCTCTATCCAGGGAGAAATGCCACACAGAGGGTTTTGTGTGTTGTTTCATAGGGAGGAAGGGGGGAAAAAACAACAACCCAGAAACTCTTTTTACTTGGTTAACTTTGCGGTACGTGGAGCCCCGCCCTCTATGGAAAACCACATTGCTGCCAAGGAGAGAGGCCACATGACAAACTTCTTCCTCGCTCAGGGGAATTTATAAATATATATATATATGTGTGTGTGTGTGTGTGTGTGTGTGTGTGTGTGTGTGGAGGAAACAGTCCTGAAAATAAATGGCTTTTCTGGGGCACTTTTCGGATCTATCCCTGAAAGCCAAGAGGCTCGGAGGGGAGGGCCCGATAAAATCAAATAGGAAACACGGATGAGTCATGTGTCTTGTGAGCGGAGTATTCTTTAACTTGGACGCAACTCAGGAATTTTGTCTGTGTGGGTTCCAGAGAAGACGGCAAGTTGAGTCCAACCGCACTGAGCGTGTCTACACTTGAGGTTCCCCCTGGGCTAAGAGGGCTTGGAAAGAGGGAAAGAGAGAGAGAGGAGAGAGGGAGGCAGGGAGGGAAAGAAGAAAGAAAAAAAGAAGAGGGCAAGAGAGAGGGGAAAGAGGAAGAGAGAGAAAAAGAGGGGAGGGAAGAAAAGAAGGAAGAGAGAAAGGATAAAAAGCAGAAGGCGAGAGAGAAGGAAGGAAGGAAGGAAGGAAGGAAGGAAGGAAGGAAGGAAGGAAAGAAGGAAGAAAAAGGTAGAGAAAGAAGGGGAAAGTGAAAGAAAGAGGCAAGAAAAAGGAGAGAAAGAGAAAGAAGGTGAAAGAGAGGGAAAGAGAAAGAAAGAAAAGAGAGTAGGAAGGAGGGAAGGAAGGAAAAGGAAAGAGAAAGATAAAAAGAATGAAGAGAAAGAGGGAAAGAAAGAAAGAAAGAAAGAAAGAAAGAAAGAAAGAAAGAAAGAAAGAAAGAAAGAAAGAAAGAAAGAAAGAAAGAAAGGACAGACAGACTACACCCCAAGTGAACTCCAAACTGGCTGGAGCGAAGGGTCGCTAAGTGAGGACTACCTGCCTTGGCCAATAACAACCCAGCCAGAGAAAAGTGAGGCTCCAGTCGCTCCGACTTACTCGCTGGTCTTGTAGACGTCCGAGTAGAGGCCGGCCTTCTGGTACTTCTTTTTCGGAGGACGGGCCGCCTTCTTCTCGCGCTGGACGACGACGGGTGCCGGCAGCCCTTCGACTTTCTCCGGGGGCTTCCCAGCAGCCTCCGAGGGGGGAGGAGGGGGAGGGAGGGGAGGGGGAGGAGGGGGAGGAGGAGGGGGAGGAAGAGGGTCAGGCGCGGCTTCTGAAAAGCTGGAAGGAGACATTTGGGGGTGAGTCCGTGGGCTGGACATGAGCCCCTGGCACCCACCCGTTGGAGTGTGTGTGTCTACAATCCACCCGCTCGAGAAAGCCGCCCACCCATCACAAAGGAAGCCCAATCAGCAGGAGTCAAGCTGTTGCACAGGTCGTCCTCGACTTACAACAGTTCATTCAGTGACCAAAAGTTACGACGCCATGGGAGGGGGGGGGGGGGGGGAAAGCGACTTACGGCCCGTTTTTCACCCTTACAAAAGCCACACCATCCCTGCGCTCAGGGGTGTGTGTGTCTGTGTCGAAATCCGGATGCTTGCCTGCCGACTCGAATTTGTGACGGTTCCCGGAGAGTCACGGGGATAAAAAATCTGGCGACTTTCTTATACAGCCGAGTCAATTGTGTGGGGGGGGGGGGGGGGGGGGGCGGGGAAAGCCAGATTCGCTGAACCACCGTCCGACTAACTGCCTGCAGTGGTTCCCTTAGCGACGGCGGCAAGAAAGGTCGCAAAACGAGACTGAATCCTCTTTGGCAAACCTTTCGCTTAGCAGCAGAGATTTTTGGGGGTTTGTTAAGGCGAGGGCTACCTCTTATTTCCCCTTGGGAAGGGACCCGTCTATTGCCTCGGCCACTGGATAGGACGCTGGGGCTCACGATCATGAGGACTAGGGCCTTGGTGGTTGTTGTTGTTGGTCCTCCTCCTCCAAATCCGAAGGGCTCACCTTTTAGGGCTCTCTTGCTCCTCGGCGGCGAGCGGCTTCTGCTTCTTCCTAATCTGCTCTTCTTCCAGCCACCGCTTCCGCTTCGACCCTTTCTCGTTCACGCCCTGCACCACCGACTCGATGGCGTCGGTGACGGTGTCGGGACCGTGGTGGAGGAGACAGACGGGCTCCCTGATGCCGCTGAGCTCGGGGCCGATGAACCGGCTGGCCTGGATCCCGTGGGAGGAGACCACGGCCGGCGCGGAGGGGTACTTCCTGGGCCTCCCTGGCCGGCGCTTCACAAAATTATTGCCGGTCCGCGATTGTCTTTGGAGCTTCTTGGCCTTGAGGATCTTGTTGACGTGGTCCAGGTTCTTCTTGGTGGCCAAGATCTTGTCGTAACTGCACATCCGGCGGGTCTGGCTCTGCATGGCTTCCACCATGCCCCTCTTGAAGTGGTGGTGAGGGGAGCAGCCGCTCGACAAGTGGCCCGAGAGGAGGGAGAGGCTGTCGCCGCCGGAGGGATTCCCGGGGAGCAAGTGGTCGCACGGTTTCTCCTGGCCGGGGCTCCGACTGGGGCTGTCCGAGGGCAGGGTGGGGCCGCTGGACAGGACGGACTCCAGGGCCTTGTCCAGGTCTCCCTGGCTCTCGTGGTGAGCCAGGCGCTGCAGGAGGTGGTCAGAGGGATCTTCCAAGGAGGAGCCAATTCTGGAACCGCGCGACGGGATCCCGACGACTGGAAAGAGAAAGGGACTCGGGTAAGGGACGGTTTCGTTCGGGGTTTTAAGCCACGGCTTTTCCTGGGCACGAGAGGGCAAAACTTTGCCGTGGCTCTCCCTGTTAGTAGCCAAACTGTATAAACGGCCTCGAGGCGAGGCAGGTGGCGTACAAGTCAAATGAATGAATGAACAAAACGATACCCTCTGCAAAACTTTGGCTACAAGACTTAGCAGAATGATAACAGAGTTGGAAGGCACCTTAGAGGTCTTCTAGTCCAACCCACTGTCAGGCAGGTGACCCTATACCAAGGGTCTTCAAACGTGGCAAATTTAAGACTTGTGGACTTCAAACTCCCAGAATTCCTGAGCGAACACGACTGGAGGAGGAGGAATTCTGGAGGAGTTGGAAGTCGACAAGTCTTAAAGCTGTCCAGTTTGAAGACCCCTGACCTATACCATAGTGCACAAATGCCCAGTCTCTTCTTAAAAACTTCCAGAAGGAAGGAGGGAGGGAGGGAGGAAGGGAGGGAAGGAAGGAAGGAAAAAAGAATAGCAGAATAAGAATAATAGAGTGGGAAGGGACGTTGGAGGTCATCTAGTTCAACCCCTGGTCAAGCAAGAGACCGTACACCATTCCGGGCAAATGGCTGTGCGTTCTCTTCCAAAACATCTCCAGTGATGTTACACCTACAATTCCCAGAAGGAAGCTGTCCTTTTCCAAAGCCTCCTTCGCCAGGTGACAATCAAGAAGCCACGAGGGAGCCAGGTGGGCTTACCTGGAGAAAGCCTTGCACAAGGGTAACTGGGGGGAAAAAACAAAACCCTTGCTGGCTTGTACTCAACACCAGAATAGAGGTGATTAGCTCAATGACTGGCAGGGGGGGAAAAAAGGCCATAAAACTGGGTTGGTCACGTGACCAACCTGTTTCACAATCATCACGTAAGGGGGTAGGTTCCATTACGGTCGTAACTCTAGGACTACCTGGACCTCTAACCCAGCGTTGGCTTTAAGATGGGCGGACTTCAACTCTCAGATGGCTAGGGAATTCTGGGAGTGGAAGTCCGCCCATCTTAAAGCATGCAGACTGAGGG